CCACGAAAGAGGAGGGAGATAGTTATGATAAAACTCAGCAAAACGTCTCCATGGATCCTGGTCCAACTAACCAGGTTTTAAAAAGCCCTTAAATATAGACGCATCCTATTAAAATCACAGAGCTACAGAATGTCATATTTACCATCTGAATACAAATTCAAAGGAGATTCTGCTTAGCTCCAGTACCGGTAAGTGATGACAAACAATGGGAGATAGACTCAGATTGTACACATGAGACCTGATTCTTGACTTTCCATAAACCAGCCATATAGGCTACGTAGGCTGCAGCCTTGGACCTTGCTTTGCTGATGTGTGCTCAGTATTATGTGGCAAGTGACCCTTATCCCTCGTACACAGAGAGACAGAGCAGAAATCCTAGAATATTCACTGCTGGTGCTCCCAGACCTCCTGAAGGCATCAAGGCCCTTTACAAAAAAATTCTCTAGCTAAATTGTTGAAACCATTGGCCCTCATGGACTTTGCGTGGTTATTTTCACTCCACATCCCACATCCAACTGGGTTCTTGTTTACTTTGACTCCAGACCTGTCTTTCTTCGTGTCTTTGGACACATGTTATTCTATCCTGAATCCTTAGCACTGTCACTTCCCCATCTTAGAAAGGAATTGCACACCACATTATATACCAATTGTTATTACTGCCCACCAAACTCTTATACATACCCTCACATTTTCCTGGATAGACTGGTTTGCAACATATATTTTAACTTGTATAGTCAAATATTTTCTAATTTTAAAAATATACTAATAGCCAATGATTACTTAAGTAGTTTGTAAGAAGGAGAAGGAATAAAATATATATATAAGAAGGTTTGGTCAGATCTGCCCCCTGAATTACATGATACCCCTAAGCATCTAACTGCAGGTTTAAATTCTCCTTTTTAAAGATTTTGCTCTGTTTGATGCATTTTGATCATAGCTGTTTTCTCTGCTTTCTCACAGTTCCATCTCCACATCTTCTTCCAGGATGTTGCCGTGCCTTGAAGAGAGCTTGGAAATAACTACTTATATCTTGTTGTTTGTATTGTAATTAATTTATTTTTTCAATAACAAAGGTAGTACTACATTACAAAGAATAACTTTTCTCCTTTTGTAACTTAAAGGAGTACATTACAAAGGATAACTTAACAAAATATAACTTAACCCATTTTGTGGCATAACTACCTTTTTGATTTCTGTCAGAGTTATGAGGAAGGCATTACTAACTGGTACAAGAGGATTATCATTGAGTTGAAGTTCTGGCTTGTACTGGTGACTTGTGCATTCTTGTAAATGGCTGGATGGGATGAGGGTTCAGTATCACTGACCAACAGCTTGTAGCATTTATATTTTGCTTGTTTTGTTGTTAAAAGCCCAACTAAGTACTCAGTTACCAGATGGTGGTGGTGGTTGGTCAAACAAGCAATCTGAGTAGTAAAAGCCAACAGTGTTTTTGCTTAAATTACCTGAAATGTCCATAGCTGTTCTTAAATCACAGTTGTGCCAGTTCAAAGAATACTAGAATTGAGATATTCTCATAGGCATAGACAGTATTACTTTAGTTATGGCACCACACAGGCATAGGAATTCTCTTGTAAACCAGTTGTTGTTGTTCTGACAACTGTGGAAAGATGCATTTCCCCCCCCCCAAAAAAAACACACTTGACATCACATTTGTTACAGAGCTTAGGGAGGTATCCAATGCACCATCAGGTGAATTTTCATGGAATCATTTTCAATTATTGAGATCTAATGATGTGGACAAAATGGTTAAAGCAGTTTCACATACCACATATAAGCTCAAGCCTTGCCATTTTAGCTGAAAAAAAATCTAACTGGGGAGGATTGACCAGGTGGGTCTAGGGAGTGATAAATGCTTCACTCCATCTGGTGGAGGTGGCTGCTCCAAGGTGACTGAATGTGGGTTGGCTGGGCAACTTCAGGTTATCTGGACCTATTTCAGTCTAGTTTCAGACAATGATATGCATGAAACAACCTTAGTTGCTCTGAAAGATGGCCTACTCCAGGGGAAAGATGGAGAAGACTTATTCAGTTGATCTTCCTGGATCTCTCGGCAACTTTTGATACCATTGATCATGGAATCTTGTTGGACTGGTTCTGTGGGATGGGAGTAGGAGTTACTATTCTACAGTGGTTTTGTTCCTACCTGCAGGGCTGATTCCAGACAGTAGCATTAGGCAGTGGTGAACCTAGCATATTTGATACCCAGAGTGATACCCTTCTCTCTTCAACAGGCTTTTCTGGGTTTGACAGAGGTACTGGACCAGGAAGTAAATGAAGAAGACTGTCTTCACTGCCTGGCCAGCAGAACTAGAAGGTAGCCCCTTCCCACCCAGCAGCCGCTGGCAGGTGTGGGCTGCTCCTGCCATTCCACAGCCTTTCTGGGTCTGATGAAGCTGCTGGCTGGTTGACAAAGGGAGAAGTTTCCTGCTCCACCTGGGCAGCTGCACTGCCAGAACTGGATGGCCAACCCTTCCCACCAGTGCACCACATGACACTGCCCTCTAACATGTCACCAAGTGTAGTCTATATGCCCACACCCCTCTAGTGATGCCCCTGACATTAGGAGATTCCTGTTCAGCCCCATGGCTATCAAGCTCCATCATATACCATTCATTTCTACATTAATTTGCTTGGGGAAAGTCATAAGGGGTTTTGGGGTGGGATGCCATCAGTATACTGATGACACTTGGCTCTATTTCTCCTTGTCATTCAGGTCAGCTTAGACCGTGCAGGTGTTGGACCAGTGCCTTGATGCTGTAATGGGCTGTATGAGGTCAATAAACTGAACCTAGATAGCTTTAGTTTATTGACCTCATCAGGATACTGTGTCATCAATAAGCTGAAGCTAGATCCCAACAGAGAGCCAGGGTGGTGTGGTGGTTTGAGTGTTGGACTAGGACACTAGGAGAGCATGGTTTGAATCCCTGCTTAACAGTGTAGCCTGATTGGGTGAACTTGGGCAAATCACACTCTCTTGGCCTGAGAGGAAGGCAAAGGCAATCCTCCTCTGAACAAATTCTCCCAAGAAAATTCAGTGACAGGTTTGCCTTAAGGTTGCCATAAGTCAGAAATTATTTGAAGGCACACAAAAACAAGATGGAGACTCTGTGGATGGTGGTCGAACTTTATGTTTCAATACATTATTTCCATATTGGTTCCTCATTGGTCCTTCTGCCCCTCTCACCTTTCCTTTGCTTTACCCACTAAAAGATTCTCATTTCCCAAATTCAGTTATTACTTGAAAATAGAGTAGATCCCCTGGAATCAAAGCTACTTCTATAAGTGTTTCCTTGGTGTTTCCTAAGGATTCAATGGTTCCAAGGTAATTTAAAGTAACACTTGGATCTTGGCATTAATCACTATTTTGAGGGTATCTACTGTTATGCAATGTGCAAACACACTGTGGTAGTACAAGCAGTTGTGCAGTGGTGTAATCTAGTATACAGACAGTGTAGCAAAACTATTGCACAATTTTGTTATAGTTAATTTAAAGGACACAACCCCCAAATAAGATTTTAGCTATAGATGTCTGCTTCGTGACTTAGGGAACTAACACACGGGGGAAATCCTGTGCAGAAACAGGGTTTTAAATTTTAAAAAAAACCGCAAAAGCAGGTTGATTTTCACATGATTGGAAAATCCCAAAAGTAAAAAAGAGTGGCTTTTGACTACTTTCCGTTCAGGTTAACAACGGTTTAACAATGACGTCGTGTGAAAATCAACCCACATTTACGGGTTTTTCCCAGCTTTTAAATCCAGTTTCTGCATAGGATTTCCCCCATGTGATAAAGTTCTATGAATCTGTTGTCCAGATCTAGTCCTCAATATGGTTGCTATATGACACAAGTGAGAATGCTGCAGCACTCTAGATGTGGTTGAACTATAACACACAACAGTCTTTGCAGCTAATGGGGAGGAATGCTGAGAGTTGCAATTGAACCACATCCAGAGAGCTGCAGGATTCCCATCCTTGAAACAGATTATCCAGTATTTGTCACTCAAGGGAGCTCTACCCCCTTCCCAATGCAGAATCATTTATAATTAATGTAGAATTATTTATGCAAAAAGTAACCGTTGAATAATATTCTCTGGAATGAACATTATGAGTTTTACTTAATTTGGTCAGATCACACAATCCCCCTTCTCTTAGTGCAAAATTTACTGTGGCATTTGTGTTATATTTTAGCACCTACTCCTCAAATTATATATACTGTAATTGGATATTAGACAGGAGGAGGGCTGTATACCTACTGCTACTAATCAGTGCACCCAAAGCCCTAAAAGACTTGGGGTGAGGATACCAAAAGGAAGGAACATCAGCTCCCCAAAAGATTGTGCCTGTCCCCTGAGACTCTCTGCAAAGGCTCTTCTATGCAGGTGTGGATGGTGAGAACTTGCAACAGTGTAGTGATAATGTATTGAAGTACAAATATTCCTCAGGATATCCCCCCCTCCATATTCAAAGCTGTGTTGACCCATATCTGTCTTTCTATGTACATAGCATACATGCATATAGACATACACAGTTTGTATTACAACATTTTAGAGAATTTACAATAATGTAGTGTTGTTGCTAGGGAAATCCATCCTCTCTTTCAACATTTGCTTATAATGAAGATTACAACAAAGCTGACAAAAGAAAATGGAAGTAGGGACCAGAGAATAATTTCATTTTGCCCCTCATCATGCAAAAGTCTTGGCAAACCCTGTTTCTACTTCATCACTGATTGGTGGGAATGTAAGAAAAGGCCTTTCCCATCATGGTACATAATGCGGCGGGTGGTGGTGGTGTAGGGTATCTCTTTTTAAAAATTGTTTTTTTGTTGTTGTGTTCTTTCAAGTTGTTTTTTATTTATGGTGATCCTAAGGTAAACCTATCATGTGGTTCCCTTGGCAAGATTTATTCAGTGGATGTTTGCCATTACCTTCCTCTGAGGCTGAGAGCTTGTGACTTGCCCAAGATCACCCAGTGGGTTTCATGGCCAAGCTGGGAATTGAACCCTAGTCTCTAGAGTTGTAGTCCAACACTCTAACCATTTGTTTATCTGAGGCCAGTTGCCTCAAGCATTTCACCATGCATTGAGATTAGGAGCGGATTAAAAAGGAAACAACCAGCCGCTTACTTTTACACATTGAGAAGATTAGAAGTGATGGTAGAGTGGCAATTCTAATTCTTTTTCCAGGAGAGCCACCCTGCACCCATCTTCTCAGAAGCATCCCCTTCTGTGTCCAAGGGACTTATTTCCAGGTAAGAGGGTAGCCAGGAACATTCTCTATGCAAATAGGGAGGTAAATGTGCTTATTACCCCCTATTTCCGTAGAGAATGTTTCTTTTCTGGCTGCTCTTCCCTGGGCTGCTGATGCTAAGTTGCCACTTGTGTGCCAAGAAAGAATTTGCAGCCTTGAACAAGATCCCAGAGCCAAATAGGGCAGAGGGGAACAGCTGAGGTCAACTTGCTTTGCCTTTTTGGCTTGTGGGGGGGAGGGAGAGGAGAAGCGGGTGACTCTTTGTTCAATGCAATCTTGTACACTGATTACACATATAATGTACAATTATAATTTATTATATGTAATTAATTACATTTTAAACACACTTATTATTACATACAATTAATTGTTATTTTTGTATGCTTTCAAATCATTTCCAACTAATGTTGGTCCTAAAGTAAGCCTATCATGGGGTTTTCTTGGCAGGTTTCTCCGGGGGGGGGGTGTTGCCATTGTCATCCTCTGAGGATGAGAGAGTGTGACTTACACAAGGTCACTCAGTGGGTTTACATGGCTGAGCCAGTTACATCTAATCAATTACACATGTAATTACATATGTAATATGTAATTTTTTATATGTAATTGCTGGCTAGCATAGTATAGAGGTTTGTGTTGGTTTAGGACTCTGGGAGATCAGGGTCTGAATTCCCACTCACCCACAGAAGCTCAGTAAGTGACCTTCAGCAAATCATGTTCTCTCATCCTAAGAGGAAGACAATGGCAAACCACCTCTGAACAAATCTTGCCCAAAAACTCCCAGTGAGATGATCTTGTATGTGCATGTGCCTGAAAGTTGCATGTTGACCTAATGGACCCCATGAATTTAGTTCCTTCTTCTGAAACATAGCCTACAGCACCTGATAATCGTTGAGGGTTTCCCAGTCAAGTACTAACCAGGACTTACCCTGCTTAGCTTCCAGGATCCAGTAGGACCTGGTTCCTTTAGGTATTAAGGCCAATCTGAGGTGATAATAGGGTCACCAGTAATTCAAAAACTTGAAGACACAGAACAACAATATAGTTGCAATAATGCATGCTATGTAACATATATATTAGATGTACTATAGTAATTAGATATAATTATATGAATTAATAATTCATATTCAATACAAATTGAATTGAATAATTCATATTCAATACAAATACATTACAAGTACACAGAGTTACATCCAACAGCTAGACCCAAGTAAAGTTTTGTTGTACACTTTCAAGTCATTACAGAATTATGGTGACCACAAAGTGAACCTATGAAAGGGTTTTCTTGACAAGACTTCTTCAGAGGGGGTTTGCCTTTGCTTTCTCTGGGGTTGAGAGAGTGTTACTCATCCAAGGTAATCCAGTGGGTTTCCATGGCCCAGCAGGGATTTATCCTGGTCTCCAGAGTCATAGCCCAGTGCTCAAAGTAGGATACCACACTGTCTCTAAGGAAAACAGACCCACTCAAAGAACTGCTGAATGCAGTTCATTAGGCAACTAATGAAGAAATGTGCCAAGAAAACCCTGTTATAGGTTTGCCTTAGGACGTTATCACACGGGGTCTAAAGCAGCCCTATCCCTGCATCATCCCCGTCCCATTCCGGATCCTTTGCCCCTGTGATCAGACGACATCGCAGCAAACCCCGCCCATCCCTACATCATCCCTGGTGCATTGCTGCATCATCCCAGTTCTTTGCAATTCCTCTTTCAAAGAGGAATTACAGCTGCCGCGACCAGAATCAATCCAGAACCATTCCGGTATGATGCTGCTTTCTTGTCTGATGATATGGGGTCCATTCCGGTATGGTTCTGGATTGATTCCATGCCGCTTTTCTTGCCGCTTTGAGACCCCTGGTGTGATAACGTCCTTAGAGTTGCCATAAATTAGAAATGATTTGAAGGCACACAACAACAGCGATATCTCCTAGACTCTGTTCCCATTGCCACATGGCCAGAAAGAGAAAGGATCTGCTTGCCTCCATATCCCTACAAAGAACACCACCAACACCTTGAGAAAATGAAAACCTTACTGTGACTAACATCATCATTTTATTTTTATTTTTAATCCTGTCTGGATTTTTGACCTCTTTGCGTGATGAAGAAACCACTGGAGCTTGGAAAGCTTGTGTCATATATTTTGTGTCTTTTGGTTGGCTAATTAAAGGTATCTCTCTTTTGTGGATGTTATTGTACAGCAGCTTGTCAGATCTATAAATCCCATGGATTGAATGGGTTCACTCAAGTTGGACCTAGCATCGGGATGTCAGTTATGTAATAATGTTTGTTGTTATTGTTGTGCGCCTTCAAGTTGTTTCTGACTTATGGTGACCCTAAGATGAACCTATCATAGGGTTTTCTTGGCCAGATTGGTTCAGAGGAGGTCTGCCCTTGCCTTCTCCCAGTGGCATCATTAGAGGAGGGCGAGGGGTATGGACAACACCAGGTGGCAGCCTAAGGGAGGGGAGGGTGACACTACTGCTCCTCAAACATCTGCTTTTGGGCAGAGGTGAACTGTGGCCTTCCCCTGCATCCCTTTAAAACACCAAAGAGATGGTGTGAGTCAGATGAGGCTCAGTAGGAGGGGAAAGGAGAGGTTCCAGGTTTCTTTTAAATTTAAATTTTAAAAATTTAATTTTTTTAATTTAAAAAATAACATTGAATTTGACCAAATTTTCACTTTAACCACATGAAACCATGCATATGTAAATACATTTAGGTCATGCATATGATAAAAGTAAAGGTAAAGGTATTCCCCCATTGACAAGGTTGTGAAGTCATGTCCGACCATAGGGGATGGTGCTCATCTCCATTACTAAGCCAAAGAGCCAGCGTTGTCAGAGACTACTCTGTGATCATGTGGCCAGCATGACTGCACAGAACACTTTTTATCTTCCCACTGAAGTGGTACCTATTTATCTACCTACATTTGCATGCTTTTGAACTGCTGGGTTGCCAGAAGCTGGGACTAGTGACATGAGCTCACCCCATCATGCAGCACCCAGGCTTCAAACTGCCAACCTGCCGATCTTGCAATCAACAGAGTCAGCATCTTAACCACTTGAGATACTGCATATGATATTGTAAAGTAAAGGTATATACCATCACAGGTTCACCTGGTGAAGACATGAGAGAGAGCCTTCTCAGTGGCTGCTCCTGCCCTCTGCAATGCCCTTCCACAAGAAGTAAGGCTGACCCTCTCCTTGCTTGCCTTTCGCCGGCAGGCAAAAACGTCCCTTTTCAGGCAGGCTTTTAATGCATAATGCAAAAATTATGGGATGGATTTTATATGGATATTGTGGTTTTAATGTTTGTATTTTATATCGTTTTTAGCTGATGATTTTAATTGTTTTATTGTGATATTACGTTGTTTTTTTTAGAATGTTATTTGTGAGCCGCCTTGGGTCTCTTTGCGGAGAAAGGCGGGATAGGAATTAATTAAATAAATAATTTCACAACTATGACCATGACATTCATAGTGACACAGAGGAATGATGATGAATGAGTAACATTCGGGCACAAAACAGGACTTAAGGATTGTGTATGGTGTGATAGAGGAGGAGGTTAGTGCGGTGATGGTGGTGGTGACACCTTGGCACTAACTAACCCTAGGGACTGCCTTCCCCTGAGGCTGAGAGAGTGTGACCTGCCCAAGGCCACCCAGTGAGTGTCATGTTCCCACAATGGCAGAAGTCCAACCCTCACACCACCAATGCCCCATTATCCCCTTGGAGAGGGAGCTGCCCATGCTGCAGCTGAGTCGGAGGAGCCAAGAGGAAGGGCTTGCTTTGCTTTGCTTTGCTTTCCAAGGGGGTGGCCTTGCTTTGGGCCCCCCTCCCGGCTCTCCCCGCCCTTCAAGCCCCAGCCAAAGGAGGGAAGGCGGGGAGGAGAGCCTGGGGAGGCCGCCGGAGCTTGGATTAAGCCTCAGAAAGAGAGGCGGAGAGAGAAAGAGAGAGAGAGAGAGAGAGGAGGCGAGCGCGCCTGGCTAGTTGGCGAGGAAGGAGGAGAAGAGGCGCCAAGGCTACCACTACCACTACCACTACTACTACCATTACTACCCTGGACAGCACCCGCGCCTCCTCCTCCTCTCCTCAGCAGTCCTTCCTTCCTTCCTTCCTTCCTTCCTTCCTTCCTTCCTTCCT